AAAAAAATTTCCCAAAACTTGTTTGGTTTACAAATTTTCCAAACAAATCTCTCTCTCATACACATCAAATCAATCACTTTTTCCAAAACTCTCTTTCAAAATAATTTTCCAAAACATCTTTTGAAAAAAACCAAACCAAACAACTTTTCGTACTTTTTATCTCTAAAACCCATCTCCCAAACTCAAACCAAACATACCCTACGTTTTGAGAATTCATCATGTTTTGCATCCTCTCATTCTATTTGATCATGATTTGGAGACTTGAAACTCAAATCATTTCATGCATGTCATGTTTTTGGAACATTCATAAAGTTTAAGTTGAAATTGTGAACAATTGGCATGCTTTTGCGCCTTGATTTCATGAAATGATCTTTAAATCATGATGTTTTGTGAGTTTCTAAATGTTTTCCAGAATTTTGGCCCAAGATGGTGAGTTTTGGAGTGTTGAATTCATGTTTTGAACCTTGGGAGGAAATCTGGAAAACCCAGAATTTTGTTTCCACGCTCGAGTGAAGGATGCCACGCTCGAGCAGCCACATTTATTTTCACACTTCTGCTCGAGCAACAAAAGTTTAGCTCAAGCGTAAATTGCATGCTCTCAGAAATTTGCGTGTTTGGAAGCACGCTCAAGCAACAAGACTTGCGCTCGAGCGAGGACTTGTGTCTCACACTCGAGAGAGCGTCGAGCAATCGTCGAGCGGAAATTTCATGCAACCAGAACTTTTTCACATTTTACAGACCGCTCGAGCGACCACTCACATTCGATAGGTTCGCTCGAGCGAAGAAAGCTGCGCTCGAGCGAGACCCCTGTTTTTAACAAGTTTTTGAAAAAAAATTTCAAGTGCAATTTTGTAACCTTATTCCATCACAGGCATTCCTAGGCCATGATTAAGACGTCATAATGGGGTTAAAGGCTAGAAACACACGAATAAGCTATGTTCAATCCGAGCGTGTGTATTCAACGTATGTATCTATCATGTTATGTAGGTCACACGCCTCAAGATAAGTGATTTACCTACTCTACTCGTCTATTTGGAGCCACCGGTTATCTGTGAGTAATAACTCTGTAAAGTTATGTTTAACTTTAATTATTTTCCGATGATATCAAATGATAAGTTTTCTGAAATGCTATGTTTTGTATGAATGAATGATTGTCCAATTTTCTTTGAAACGTAATTGTGGTATCCTTAGCAGAGGCCCTCGCCCAGAGGACATAATACTGTGGCTTCTGGTCATAAGGCCCTAGCCCAGGGGATAATACCGCGGCCCAGGCCCCCACTCGGGGGAAACAATACCGTGGCGCAGACCCTCGCCCGGGGGAAACAATACTGTGGCTGATATATGAGATATGTTACCCGGTACCGGAGGTTCCAATACGGAACTTGATATGCTTGATCAAAGAGATATGTTTATACTAATGGATGTACCACACATGATTTGAATATGAATAAGACTATGACTCTGTTTTTGTTACCTTATTATGATTCTGATTTGCTATGACATTTGAAATCTATTCTGGGCATCATTCATTAAAATCTTTACTCTGTTATTATTCACTAGGCTCCAGCTCACTGTATTATTTATGTATGTAGGTGAACAAACACGTGATCAGACCCAGAGTTGACGGCCTGTGTTTCAGTTTTGTCAACCAACCTTTATGCCTCCCGAGGAGGTTCCGAATGAAGTCAAGTTTGTGGCTATTTTTGCAATCATATCAAACTTTGTTTGTTTTGTTGAGTTTTGGACAAGATCCCTGGTATTATACTGCTAGAAGTGATATGTAAATGTTATATCTTTTGACATCACTTATAAGTTTATAAAAGTTTTAAATTATGCCTCTTATGTATGTCTTCACAACTTAATGGATTATGTATATTATGTATACTTGCTTCCACAGCCCTTATTTATATGTTAATCCGTCAAGAGGCCTTTGGTAATCCCAAGATCACTGGTCGATTACGATACTAAACTCATAGGGGCGGGTTTGGATCATGACAACGTTCTAGTTGAGGGACCTAATGCATCATCCCTTTTTTTGGTGTCCTCTATCCTTTAAATTACTATTATTAAGGACCTTAAAAAAAATTCCCTTTAAATATATTTCTCTATTTTTATTTTTATTTATTTTCAAAATATTTTTATACACCATATATACAAGTGTTTTTTACAAAAATAAACAAAAACTTGTATCATGTAAATTAATAAATAAAAATATTACTCTCACCGTCTCAAAATAATAGTCTTTATTGGAAAATTTAACTTGTTTTGATAGTACAATTATTACTTTAAAAATATTAATTTTTTAAAAATATTTTTTGATAGTACAATTTTTTGGGAATATCAATTATCATTATTATACTTTTTATATTATTAATAAATTTTAAAAAATGACTAAATAAGAAATTCATATTATTTTAATTCTTCATTTTTTTAAAAAGAGACTAGTATTTTGAGAGAATAAAAAATGAAATAAAGAAACTAACATTTTCAACGAAAAAGAGTAATAAACAAAACCTAAATAATGAAAAACATATTTCAATGACGTCAAATATATTTCAATTAATAATCAAATAATTTTATTATTATATAAAAAAATAATTTATAATTTTTCAATTTACAAAAAACAATTCATATTTTAAATAAATCACAAAAATATATTTGTAATTTACTTTTATCCAAGGCTATTTTGAAAATATAGTTAAAAGTTACCTTCCAACTTTGAATTCATTTTAAATCACATTATTTCCTACATTTTTTTTATATGCTTTTTTAAAAAACAATCCAAAAAATCAACATTTAACTATCTTTTCAAAATAACCCATAATTTCATAAATTGAGAGTTTGGCATAATCTCCCTTAACACATCTTTTTAGTCCCGTCACATTTTATGTAGATTACATCATTTCTCTATCAATTTATACATTTTTATTAATAAATATATATATATATATATATATTGAGAGGGTAATTTTTGGAAAAAATTGGGCCGAGCTGCGAGTTGGGCATCGAGGCCCAAAACGCGTAGGACTAAGTAAGAAGGCCGCAATAGATACTCCGGCCCAGAAGGGCAAAGTTACTCCGGCCTTGGGAAGACAAAGTTACTTCAACCCAAGGAAGTGAAATTACTCCGGCTCAAGAAGAGATAGTTACTTCGGCCCAAGGAAGAGTAAAACTACTCCGGTCTGGAGGCAACTCACAGTTAGGTCGGTCTCAGAGTTAGTCCGGTCGCAGTATGTTCTGGGAAGACCGGTTTCGAAATTAGTCCGGTCGTGACACACTCTGGTTAAGTCGGTCAGAACTTGTTACTTGGAAGTCTGATCTAAGTACGTCAAGGGTGAACAGAAGAGTGTGTTTAATTATCTTCTCTCGGCGGTGGCGAATCCTAAGGTAATAGCCCCACCCAGCATTCTTCGAGCCGATGGAATACTGATGGAATATTTCGGCTAGGCCAAGATTTAGTCCGGTTTGGTGGTTCAGTGCGGCTATTCCCATTATAATACGATATGTATTGTCAATGTAATACATGGAGTGGAGGAGGTAACATAATACAGCATACAATTCTGCTTACTGAATCATTGAGCTTTTGTCTATTTGTCAAGTTTTCTGACTTAGGCATCGGAGAGGTTTCCGGCACACACCCGCCGGCTAGCTCACGTTTGTGTTTTCAGGTGACAAAGCGACGTCGTACGGAGGAGCGTGGACTTGGTCAACAGGATTATACGAGGAGAATTATTTCCTCCCCGTACATATATATATATATATATATACGTGTATAAACAACCCCTTAATCTCACCGAATATCACCTCATAAACAAAGAAAATTTCATTTATATATCACTTCAAAGACAACAAAATTTAATTTACATCTAAGGAAATATGACCTTGATTCAAGTGTACCACAACCCCAAATTCCTCATTTTTATAAAAGTGTGGTTTCTCTCCAACCTCAAATCAAATAACAAAATGCTATTGAGCTTGTAAAAGCTCATCACAAAATTTATTTTGATAATATAAATCAATAAATATATAAAATTTATTAAGTATTATATATCTATAAAAAAATTTGTTAATCAAATATCAATAATTATTTTATTAAATTAATTTTCTATCAATCTTTTATATTTTTATCATTTATTTTTTTTATACAAAACTAATTTAATCATATAATTATCAATATTCAATTAACATAATTTTTTTATAAACATATAATATTTAACAAATTTTACACATTAAATAATTTAAATTATAAAAACAAAACTCGTAAACCCTGCTGGATAGAACTGTAAAAAAATATTTATAACTTATACCTAAACAGTTTATAATTTATAACTAGAAATATAAATTAATTTTTAACTTATAAATTAAATATCTCCTACCCTACTCAAAAAATAAACTAATTTTTAACTTTTAAAAAATTATAAACTATAAGTTATAAACTAAATCAAACACATCAAAATAACTTAAATTAAACTAAAAACTAAAATAAACAACTTTTAAACTGCACCAAACATACACAATAAACTTTTACAAATCCAACAACACTTTCCAATCTAATCTAAGGCCTCGTTTGAAAACATGTTAATTTAGTAACTTTTTAGCTATTTAGCTAAAAAGATAGATGAAAAAAACTTATATGTTTGGGATGACTTTTTGGCTAATTACGAAAAGATGTAAAAAGTAAAGAGAAAAAAGAATCTTTGACTTTTTGGTATAAATTGTTAACTTTTTGACTAATTTAATAACTTTTTGACTAATTAACTAAAATAGCCTCTTGACAAACGAGGACTAAGAATAAAGAAAAGCCAACGCCTTTATAAAACCACAAACTTGATGTATCCAAGAAAAGAATGGAGTACATTAATATTATCTTCGGAGATGATGAGATCCCATTTTGCTCATTTTATCAGCAAGCTTTAACAATTGATTGGTAGTCACAACACAAAAGTTAATAATAATAAATAATAATTAAAAAAGCAAAACAAAAATACTTGCACAAGAAGAAGAGAAAAGTAATTCTGAAATTGAAGTTTCATAACAATGCCTTAACAAGAACACTACAAGTAGTAGTAGTAGTAGAAGACGAAATGCAAGAAATCAGAAACAACTTATAATTACACGAATGTAAAACAAACCCCAATACTCGTAACTAACCCTAACAAACCCAGAACCCTAAACATCCCCATGACCTCTCTTTCTTGACAGCAAGACTTTTGTGACCAAAAACCCTAACCCCCAAACCCATAGAGAGTTCTCCCCTGCCTCTTGAGGGCATAAACAACGTCCATGGCCGTGACAGTCTTGCGGCGAGCATGCTCAGTGTATGTGACAGCATCACGAATCACGTTCTCTAGGAAGATCTTGAGCACTCCACGTGTCTCCTCGTAGATCAGACCGCTGATACGCTTCACTCCTCCCCTCCGAGCCAGCCTCCTGATCGCGGGCTTGGTGATTCCCTGGATGTTGTCTCTGAGGACTTTCCTGTGCCTCTTCGCTCCTCCCTTTCCCAAACCCTTTCCACCCTTTCCTCTTCCCGACATTTCTAGTGAAATTCAACTGAAATCAAACCCTACCTAATTAGCCATAAATCTTGTGAAATTTACTCGTAATTGAACAGAATTTGGTGAATTTCACAAAAACAAAGCTTGACAAATAAAAATCAAGTAAATTAAACTGAAAGGAACTAGTCAAGAGAGAGAGAGAGAGAGAGAGAGAGAGAAACCTGAATGATTCGAAGATGACGAGAAAGATTGGTTTTGGAGTGAATTGATGGTGTGATTTTGGGAATGGGGATTTTTATAGTGGGGATGGGGTGAGGGTTTCGATCCGCGTGATGGTTGTGAGAATAGTTTTATGCCGTCGATGGAATCTTATGGAGGGTTAAGATGAAGTTCTAGTAATAACACGGATCGGTGACGTGGCAGCTTCTTGTTTTTGGATCCCTCGTAGTATTTCAGTGAAAGCGCGCCAGAGGATTTGCCGTCTTGGCGGTGGAATTTTGAAAATAAAGGTCTTGTTTTGTTTAGGAGCGGTTTGGTATTTTCAAAAAAATAAGTATATTTTTTAATTTTTTGTAAAATAATAATAAAAATTATTAAAAGAAATAAATAAGAAACATTGATTGATATGACTAAAATAAATGTATGTAGGTAAAAAAAGTACACTTTCTTAGGTTAATCCAAACAAACGCTAGTTTTGGGAGTTAAATTTTTTTTTAAAAATTTGGGATAAGAGTTTAAGGGTGTGTTTAGTTTACTTATGAGAGAGTGATTTTCAAAAAAAAAAATTGAGAAGAGAGTTTAAATTTTTTGTTTGTTTGTTTGGTTGTATATTTTGAAAGTAGTTTGAGAGTTTTGGAAGATTTGATATTTTGTTGTAATTGAATAAATGTGTGTGAGGGAAAAAGTGGTTGAGAATGAGAGAATAGAGAGAAAAAGTGATTCATTGATGTGTAAAAAAGATAAAAAGATTTTGAAATTTTTTTGAGAAAAACCACAAACCAAACAAAATTTTGAAAAAAAAATTCAAAAACAACTCTCTCAAAAGCAAACCAGGCAAACCCTAAAAAAAAAATTTGGTTTGTTTGGTTGTATATTTTGAAAATAGTTTTAGAATATGGGAGTTTAGGATGATTTGATATTTTGTTATAGTTGAGTAAATGTGTATGAGAGAAAAAGTGATTGAGAGGAGAAATGAAAGGAGAAAAAGTGATTGATTGATGTGTAAAAGATAAAAAGTAATTTTGGAAATTTTTTTCCAAAATCATTGAACCAGACAAAATTTAGAAAAAAATTTCCAAAATTTGTTTCTCAAAACCAAACCAAACAAGGCCAAAATATTTGGGTGAGCCACTGAAATGTTTTTTTTAGCTGTTTTTAAAATAGTAGTCCTCGTTTGGTAAATATTTTGAGGCTAAAAATATACAAAAAGACAAAATAAATTATATAAGTCAATAAGATAAAATGTCACATCCAAACCATAATTATTACACTTTTTCTCTCATAAAAGTCAAAAAAATTCAAAAACAAAAACTAAACGAGGCTAAAAAAGTCCCAACACAAAAAAATTAGCTACCGTAACCAATACCAAATGAAAGTGCATTATCCAATATTATTTATTTATTTATAGATTTATTTGTCTTTTGAAAGATCAATATAAAATTTATAAATTTTACTAAATTTTTACTTCTAAATTTATAATTACTTAATTGAACCACCACATAAATTCTTCTTTACCAAAAAACTACCAAATAATTTTTCAAATGAATGACTTGGCCTCTTAAAGGATGGATTATGGTCAAATTTAGGATTTTTTGGTTAATTCTTAAGTAGCGTATTACCAGTGTTATGTACAGATATAATAAATAATTTCGTCTTCTAATTTTTTATCTTTATTTTGTAATTCTTTAATTGTTTGTTTAATGTGATTGATTTCTTGTTGTAAATCTTGTAATGTAACTTCTTTTTGTTTATTTTTAAATCTATCTAAGGTTGTGGATAAACTAATAATGGGTTTATCAAACTTAGGTTTATTATCGGAATGAATTAATAATGATTTTAATTTATCAATATGTTTTTGTTTTAATTTGGGATCATCTAATTTACTAATTAATTCAATAAGAGCAGATTTTTCTTGAGTATTTTTTGTAAGAACAGTAATTTGTTTAACTGGTTTACAACAAACATCATTACATCCTATAGTAATATTGTTATCAGAATCATCACTAGGTGATTGGTAATTGGATGAAGTATCGGGATGGTCAGAAGAAGAGGAACCACTAATAGATTGATTTAATTGAAAGATTTCATATAATTGATTTTTGGAATTTTCGTCAATTTGAAGTTGATTAACCCGTTCTTTTAATTTTTGTTTGTCTTTACATTTATTTGAATAATGACCTTTTTGACCATAGTTATAACAGGTAACATCTTTGGTAGATTTAGATTTTGGATGTGTTTTGGACTTATAATATTTCTTTTTAGGTTTGGTATAGAATTTATCATTTGACTTTGAAGGTGAATAATTCTTTTTATATTTATTAGAATATTTGTATGATGATTTATGTTTGTGTTTGGAATATTTGTGTGATTTCCTACGAGAGAGTGCAACAGGAGGTAAACCATATTGTTCACAGAAATTGCCTAATTCATATTTAGCTTTATGTTTATCTTTGTTAGCTTTTTGAGTAAGTTTAAGATCAATGCACATTTTTAAACCTTCTTTTTGAATAGTACTAATTATATCACCATATGTTAAATTATCATATTCAATAACACCAGTAGGTTGACTAAGAACATCTCTAATTTTGTGAGCAAATAAGCTAGGTAATCCATTAATAAATTTTTCTTTCCAAAATGATTTAGTACAGTCTTCTCTTAACATAACACGAGAGGTAAATACATCTTTATACCATCGGAAATCACTTAAAGTTGAACAGGTAAGATTACTAAGTTGATCATGTATGCGAGAATATATATTTGTAGGGGTACCAATAAAATGTCGGACTATTGTATAGATTAATTGATTGATTTCGTCAGGGTGACAACATCCTATAGTTTCATCAAAGATAGGTAAACCATTTTCATCAGTTTGATTAGCATATATGATTGAGTCACGTTGTTCTTCATTAAGGTATTTTTCCCACCAAGATTTGAGCATACCAGTAAAATCGGAAGTAATTAAAGAAACAATTTCAGGTTGAGAATATTGGGGATGATTGTTGAGATAACTATTTGCAACCATAGATAAACGATTTAATTTTTGAAGGATTTGATTTTCACTAAGACCGTCAATATTCCATTCGTATAATCGTTTAGCAGATACAGAAAATTGATTATTAAGATTAGTTTCTTCAAATTGGAGATCAGGTGGAGTAGGTTGTGAATACCAGTTTTTGGTAGTTTGAGGATTAACTTTGGGATAATGAATTTTATTAAAATTAGAAGATTGAAATTGTTGGGCTAATTGATCTATTTCATCTATTTCATTATCAGTAATTTTATATTAAAAAAATAATATAAATTTTATTTAAAATATAGAGATTTTTATTGATAAATTCATTTTAGAGTTATTGTAACCCATTAGGTCTACAAAGGATTAGTATAGTCTGATTAATCCCATGTATTTTATTTTTTTATTTCATGAGATCCTTTTTCATCATTTTATTATTTTAATAGACTATTATGCCCTTATATATATTGTTGATACCTATAACAGATATAAACGTTTCCTTGTTTTTTGTTAATTCTGTTTTGGTAGGTTGTTGTATTCACGTTTTTCGTTCTGATTCTGATTCGGTTGAATAAGTTTCAATTTTGCTGGCTTATTTGAAGGCTAGTGTGTGTTAGGGTTTCATTGTTGTTGTTGTGACTCGTTTGAATGGTGTTCTGTTGTGACATTGTTTGGAGTATAATTGGTTCAAATTAGTCATTTTCGAGGTAGAGGACGAGTGCAGGATTCGATGATTAGTATCGTTTTAGTGTTGAATGCATGTTCAGTTTATGTTGTGATTTATGTGATGGATTGGATGCTATGGTGTTTGAAACATGTAGATCGGATGCTCTGTTTTTTTTATTTATATGCATTTTGCATGGCTCTGTGATGGAGAGGTAATTCAGATTAAGTGAACAATGTGGACGTTCACATCTTATTGGTAATGATGATGATGATATTTTGAGTTTGGATTTAGATGTGTAAAATGTATATATAGGCATATACAGTGTGTATGAATGTATGTTCATTTTATGTTATGTTTTGATGTATGTGGTTTGATGAGTTTTTGATGCTTGCTTAATGTGAATGTTCACATCTTATTAATATGAGGTTGTGGAGGGTTGTATGCATGTTGTGTACTATGACATCATTCTGGTAGTGTGATTTTGAACTTGTAAAATGTTTTATATTGTGCAAGGATGGTGGTGGTAGTTTTTATTATGGATTTAGTAGTGGAACTGTACATATAGGCATTTAGTTTGCATAATGTGAATGTTCATATAGTATGGATTATTCTATGTATTATTGTTCGTATGGTTGTTACGTGATTGTTGACTTTTGTTTTGTTGTGTTTTTACAGGAGATGGATACCTTTATGATGTTGGTGTGCACATATGGTTGTAGTTCAATTGTAATAAATGTGGTTTGTGCATTGTGTTATTCGCGTTTGGTGGAGTGTTTGTATGAGAAATGGGACAAGTTGTCTGCTTGTTCTGTTTCATTGTTTTGTCGATTACTTGGGATTAATAGGTGTATTTGGACAATGACGAAGAATTTTAAAACATATTATTGCTTGCCAAATCAATAGGGTTACACCATGTAGAGGTTGTTATTGATTTGAAAAGTGATATTGGTCAATCAAGTAGCTCTAGGTCGCTGAGTATGGGAGGTGAGGAAGAAACTGATGCACTCTGGAGATTTTGCCACCATAAGTGTTGTTGTCAGCCCCTTAGGCAAATGGTATTACGCATGTGAGACAACGGTTTGTAGGAAGTGCACAAGAGTTTTGTGATATTTTATGTAAGTATACCATCCAATACGGGTTTCAGTTTACGTATGTCAAGAACGAGACAACAAGGGTTACTGCAGTGTGTGCGATGCGCGGAAGAGAGGTTGCTTCTGAGCTATACATTGTAGAGCACAACGAGCAAATGGTGTTTTCTACATCAAGAGGTTCAATGATGTGCATAGTTGTGGTACGGGTGTCCGAACATCGAAGAATCCAAGAGTTAGTTCTAATTTGGTATCAAGTACTATATCTGAAATTGTGAGGA